GAAAACTGATGTAAAATCAGCTTAGACCCTTGATATACAACCAAAAGAAAGGGTGAGGGAAAAGACCAAACTACCCTTAAAATTTCGGATGAACTTCCCTTACCAGCAACCCAACTTCAAAAGGGCATAACTCACTTATACGAACTCGGAATTGAGTAAACTCGGCGGCGTTGGAAAGATCATTCCAAGGGCTTTCCAAACATAACTGGAAATACACCTAACTCATCGTGATCTAGGAGTTCTGACTGCTCAAATTTGACGAAACACTCATTTTTTCCCATACTTAATTAAATTTCCAGATTCTTAATTCTATCGAAAAATGACTATTTCAAATTTCCAGCCTCTTCATAGTTATTTCAAATTGCACGATGTTACAAAAATAATACCAGTATCTGTAACATAAGCAATGATGTCAGTGAGCAATTCAACATGAGCAAAGTATATGAACAAATGTTTGTTGTGTCTTATCGGAAAAGTCACAATTATTTGGAAAAGTTGCAACTCTTCGGAAAGGTCATAACCTTTCAGAAAAGTCACATCTCTTCATAAAAGTCGCAACTCTTCATTGAAGTCGCAACTTTTCATAAAAGTCGCAACTTTTCTAAAAGTCACAACTTTTCATGAAAGAGGAAGGCTAGTTTTGGAAATACATAAATTTAAAAGGAAATTCTGGTTTGTGGTGGCGCCACGAAGGCGGGTCTAGGGTTCTCTTTTATATAAATACTAGATGGTTCTTGCCTGTGCTCAGCACGGGCCCAACATTTTGCATTTTCCGAGTACTTCGTAAAGTTATTTGGAAAGGAATAGTAGTCAAAAAAAGTATATCAATACCAAATATCAACCATGTATTGTTATCAACCCTCAATCAAGGAGAGTACTTTCAAAATTAACATAATTGATTGATAATAACATAACTTAAAAAATTTACAGATATAATTTTGCAGTATAAATTAAATAATACATCATTAAAAAATAATGTTGATGTGAACAGAACTTTCCATTGGACTGAAGAGTGGATATTTCTACTCCATCTGGTTTCGTCTTTAACAGTCTTCATGCCCAACAATCGACATACTTTGATCAACCTAGCCAGGTTTTAAGAAGGGAAATTTTTTCCTTAAATAAACACCTTTATAGAACTTTATCTTTGAAGAGGCTAGACTAAATGACCAGACATATTAGAGTTTAATAAGCTTAACTGTTCTTCAAATGAATTCTCTCTACATTTTGGCTGTAATTAGCATTTGATAGTGTCACCAAGAGATGAGGAAATTAATCATTGCCTAGACTCTTAAGACATGACCAACATGGAAGAGGTTTAAATGCAATATTTTAACTCCTTTATCAACAATGGCTCTAAAAGGATGAACTTAGAATCACACAACTTACCTCAGTGGTACTTTTTTTATTTTCTTATTTTGATAGATAAGAACTACAGATTACCCATAAATAAAATATTCTAAAAATCCAGATGTTTACCTTTTTGCGAATAAAGTTTTCCCTCACATGATTTCCGCTGTATAAGAAATAGAGAAGAGGACTGTTGTCAATGCATCTCTTAGATCCACAAAGCTAAATGTGCTCTGCACTCAAAATCACAGAATATGTATTTAATCCAATTGTTCATGCTTCAGCTTCAAACTTTCCAACAAAATAAGAGATGGAAACAATTAAATATCATAGATATAATCTACTCAAAAGATTATAACTTAGTCCAAAGCATACAAGTGAAATCAGATTAGTAAATCAATAAGAAAAGAATAGTCTTTTAAAAGCTCCCAGATAAAATTAAGCTCCAACACGAAAGCTTATTGCACTAACAGACGATACCAATAAACAATTAACTAATAAATATATAAAATCAATTCAAAAGAAATGTGCAAGTACATAAATGAACTGACAGCTATTAGGGATTTCAGCATTATCCAAATAATTTTAAAAATCACATTTAAATTTAAGAAATCTTTTTATATGGAAACAAAACTCACAATCCACAAAAAGCTAACCTGTAAATTATCAGCATAATAAATATCTTCTCAGAAATGATACATAGCATATAATCTGATCATATTTAAAAAGGGCACCAAAATTTGAAATGGGAAATAGTAATATTCTTCATAATTTGCTGCAACCCACAAAATGGTACCTCAAAAAAAAATCATGAAGTCTAATTTAGTTCTTGTTGAAAACTTAGCACACGTTAAAATATCATGTCAGAGAAAATGATAGATATAAAGACACTGATAATCTTAATTTGGTGTAGAAACAGAAAGTTATTATATGCCAGGAAACTTATGCCATACACCATATATGTAGTAGCAGTTAGCAATTAAATCATAAATAAATTAACTTACAGTAATTTATGAAACATTAGTAGGAGGCAGTTACACAAGTTGTTAGAAAAGTTTGGACAGATCTCACACCAACCATTTATATATATAGTTTATCTTGAGTCTATTGATCAAGTATTAACTAATGACACCAGATTTAAAAGAAGAGCTACTTATCAGGCAAACGTCAAAATTAAGGATGAACTTATGTACGCTCGAAAATGTTGAACTACTGACATAATAAGTTTGCTCACTAAGCATATTGTCTAAAATTCAAAGTTATGCAATGAGGGCATCTAATTTCTCTGAAATTATTGCAAATCAGTAAAATCAATATAAGAATCAAGAATACACAATAGATCACCATATTGCTAAGATAAAAAAGATGGTTGTCCAGTAATAGAAAGTGCTGGTAGAGAACTCTTCAACTCACATATATGTGAACCTCACTCAAAAGATAACTTCTAAGAAATTCTTATCATTAAGTTAGTAATGGATCATATAGTGATACATACAGATTAATATTGGATAGTCATTTTAAAATTATCGAGGTTACTGGTATCCTAGATGTTAGATGTACTAACTTATCATTAAAAGAAGATCTTTATGGTAGATGTTAATTATAGGTGAAATAGAACCACAACATTAGGAAGCTATGTCTGATAAGCTTATTTGGAAGCATTAACGTATAATTTCATGGAATTTTTTATTATAATAAGTTTATCGGGTTATAGGTTAAACCGCTGACGGTTGTTTGGTTGGAAACAAGTTATCCCAAAATGAATTATCCCTAGTTAAGTTATCCTGGGATAAGTTATTCCACCATATATATGGAATAACTTATCTCATCACTAAGGTATAAAGTGTGGGATAAATAGTTTCAGAACTGCCTAATACCTCCAACCAAATGCAAGATAAAATAGTCATGAATTCCTTATACCTCACACCAAAAAAGTCCTTGAGGAAATAGGACAAGTCGAGTCCTAAACCGATAATCCTAAAGTCCAATAACGCAAAATCGTTCTGCACCATTACATCAAAAACACAATATCGATAAATCAATAACATTTTTTTATTCGGTTTATTGATTTTACCTGAAATATGTACAATCCTATTGTCACCCATAATATCAATTTATCATAACAGAAGAGATCAGAAACCCAGAAATTGTTATTCATTATTCATTCAGTTTTCAGAAATTCATAATCATATAATTTGCGGAAAAAAAAATCAAACTAAAAGACTAGTGCAAAAATATGACGAAAGTTTTCAATGAACATCTCCTCACTTATTTCTGTTCAAGAAAACATTAATTGTGCAAAGGTCAAATTTACATGTAATTATCAATATCTCGTTCTCGACAGACTCTGTGAATGCATACAATCAAAGTTCTCAGCTGAGACTAAGAAGAGCTCCATCAACAACTTTGTGTGTTTGGGAGTAAAAAGACGGGGGTTGGTTCATCTTGTCAAGGCGAAGCATTGTAAATTCAAATTTCTTTCTTATCGAATCAAAACAGTGGACAAAACAACACTGAACCGTCTCTCTACTAAGATGATTACTATTAAGTCAAACAATACGGATAACACTAATCAAATTGTTCTACATTCAGAAAGAACAAATGCAATAACTTTGAGAAGAGTATTTCAAAAACATGATCATCTATAACTATAAAATTATCATTAATCTATAGTTATGATGTCTTTTGTCAAATATATTAACAAAGAAGAGTGAATGAAAAAAATTGACAGGAGATGAAAAAAAAGGTTTATTTTATTCATCCATAAAAATTATTAGATTGGGTGTTAACAAAATATTTGAAGGGACTTTTTTAAAAAATTCAAAAAGAAGTTTAATGCACATGAAATTAGTACTCATTGTTATCTAATCCTAATAGACATTTTACACACAACATACCTTTCAAAGAAAATTAAAAAAAAAAAAACATAGCAACCAAAAGATAAAGGAAAGTTGAAAGAAAACTATAGTTCACTACATTTTGCTATTTTTTCTCTATTTTAAATTTCTAAGATCTTTTGGCTGAAACAAAAGGGTGAGGAGAGAACTTTCAATAAAAGATTAGGCTGAACATAGCTCAAAAAAATCATATTAAAGTAACAAAGGCTATTTTTTCAATAAAAAGATTCAAATTCCTTCCTTCTATATGCATAAGAATATCACCAAGAACAATAACAACAAGGAATTCAGTCATGAAATCGAAAATTATTAAAAGAACTCAAATACATGAAGAAAGAATAGAAGACCGAGATAAAAAAAAGATTCGAGCAATATTTGAGAGAGAATCATACATGAAATAGTAAGAAGACAGAAGAGAATAAGGAAAAAACTCAGAGTAGAGATCGTGAAAAGTTTGGAGGAGGAGATCAGGAAAAAGTACTCTGGAATAGCAGACTGCATTTAAAGAATTGTACAAGCAGAAAACTAAAACTGAATGTCAAATGAATTGCCAACATCGCCTAGACCTGTTACTAATAGCTGGACATTATTCTATCTAGCAGTAGTAATTATTCTAAAAGAACAAATATCAATCAGCAGTGGATCAAATGTATCTTCATATCTAAATTGTAGGTAACAACATAAACTTAACTGATAAGAGCAAAGGAGTTTACAAGAGACTTATGATTATTTTTGAACAAGTAGTAGAAATGGGGAGAAGCTGAGTAACTGAGTTAAATCTGAAGCGTTGCCATGGAGGAACTACTCGGGCAAGAGAAATGCAGAAGAGAAACGAACGCGAGTAGACCATAGTTGTCTAGATGTTTCTATACCTTTAAAGGTGGACAGAATATCTAAATTGTCATTATGTTAGCTGTGAAATTACGATGAAGTTAGAAATAGCATTTAACATACCACAACAAATGAATTAGACTACTTACCTTGTCCATTGAATTGATATTGGAAGGGCTGATATATTAAACCGTCCTTGTGAGTCCAAATGACAGAGTTGGAGGCATGGAAGCCTTGCGTAACCATGATTCCTAACGGTCACGTACCAATTAAATCTCACACTTTTGTTGTCGCCAATAGTGATGACGCTGAAAGAGGACATTCCTAAGTATTCTTTGAAGTTGAAGGAGGTGAACTGAAGGTTGTTTTGTTTTGGAGAATAGTCGAGTAGCAAGCACAACCTACAAATCAAACAGAATGAACACTACTCGGTAGATAAAAGCAATTTATCATGTACAATATATTTAACACGCTAATCTTATGTAAGTAATTGAGAGGTCATTCAAAAGGTATAATCAAAAGGAAGATCATATACTGGTCATAAATTACCTCCCTTGTCCTGGGGTCGAGGATCAAAAATTTTTTTATCCTAAAGATCAAGAGATATCTTTGTTGTACAATAAAGGGCTAATTATAGGTTTCAAAAAGAGTACATAATTCTAGTACTGTGATTGATGTGGATTAACAAATTTACATGATGCAACATCAACAAATTGTCGTTGATGAAAAGCTCAGTATGTTCCACATTGATAGATATTGTGCCATAGTTATAAGCAATGTTTTGTCCACATGATTTTTTTTTCAAGATATTCTCTAAAATGTCGGGTCTAGCTCCAACTCTATCTAATTAAATAGAGGGAAGATATAACATCTCAGATGATACAAATATTTAAAGTTGTTATTTATTGTGATGTATAGTACTCTTTACATAATTCATAATAATATATGTTACTCTCTTGATTCCAATCAAATTTGTAAAACATATATTTGGAAACGAATTTAATAAAAGTTGTTGCCTGTTTACATCAAATGCAATATGTATAGAAAAACATATTTGAAAGAAAATCATCATTTAACGTCATCAACATCACCAATAGAATAACTTGATATCATGATGTTTTAGTTTTATTTGTAAGAATTCTCGAGGATAATTATTACTGATATGTTAATAAAGCACGTTGGGTTCTTCAATTGAGCAACTGTAAAGGGAAGTGTGTAAAAATAAATGAATAAGCTCACACAAGTTTTTGAGTTAGATTTCAGTGTGCAAGATTTGCGCGAAGTGAGAAGAAGATGAGCCCTCAAAGCATTAGTTACCGATCCCAGTAATTTAATTTCAATATCTGTCGAAAGGGAATAATCACTATGAATTTAACAATTGCCTATCTCTTCTATAAGGAATCGCGATATTGTAGACATTCTAATACAGAGTAGGAATGAGAGAGAGAAGTTAGAGCTAAGAGTACAGAAAAACTGAATTCAAATTACGATGTTTGGGAGAGAACAACCTAAGCCTTCACATCAGCCATAAAATTGAGAGAGACAAGTCTGAAGAAAACTGAAAGAAAATTGCTGCGAAATTTGAAGAAAAACATACCTGGAATCATGAAGAATTGCAAATCGATTCACAGTTGTTGGAACAAGAGGGAGGGAAGATGTGACACTTCTAGAATTATGTTTGGGCATAGAGTGAGTTGAAATTTTGGACTTGGAGTGTGAAAAATTGAAGACAGATGATTCTAGAACTGCTGACATAGTGGAGAGTATTTGTTAGTGTTAATTACTGTTTTGCCCTTGGTCGTCCTCTCATCACATTTCTATATAATAGAAATATAAATACATAAATTTAAAATGAAATGCTGGCTTGTGGTGGCACCACGTAGATGGGTCTAGTGTTCTCTTTTATATGAGTATATGATTTGTTCTTACTTGAGTCAAACTGTTTGTGACATGAACACTTGAGACATGTAAATTACAAAACCTTTTAAGGAAAACTGATCAACTTAGAAGTTTTGTCTAACTTTGAGTGCAGTAAATAAAAATATCAAGTTTGTGTGGAATCTAAGTATGTTGAGCATTCTTATAAATCTGTTGAAAGGAATTCTAATCCCTTAGAGTTGATTTACACTAACATGTGTGGTATGAACTCAACACCATCTCGTGGTGGGAAAAGTATCTCATAACTTTCATTGACAATTGCATTAGAAAAGACTATGTCTATTTGCTGAATAGTAAGGATGAATCAATAGAAACGTCCAGACAATATAATATTGAAGTTGAAAACCAGTTGGAAAAAGATAAGAAGTGATAGGGATGTAGAGTATAAATCTCCCTTTGCAGAACTATGTTTGGAAAGTGGAATTATCCATCAAGCTGCTGCCCTATTCACCTCAATCTAATGGAAAACCGAACGTTGAAAGAAATGATGGATGCATTACTTATAAGTTCAGGTTTACCACAAAACTTGTGTGGAGGAACTATTCTTACTGCAAAAGGGAACAACAAAAAGTTGTCCTTTCAGAAAGAAAGCAATTTTGTTTGTTCAGGACACAATCTATTCCATATGAGAAATGGAAAGGAAGGAAATCCAACTTGAGATATTTCAAAGTGTGGGGGTGTCTAGCCAAAGTCCAAGTTCCTATTCCTAAAATGATTAAAATAGGACCTAAGAACTATGGATTGTAAAAGTAGACTTAAGTAGTCTAGTGAAAGATCTAAAAGACCTTGAAACGAACAAAAGGAGAATGTACTTAATAAAGACATTCACACGCGTAGTAAGTGTCAAAGGACATCTACTACCTTCGGATATGATTTTGTAACATTTTCTATGTCTTATGTGGACTCATCCTTTCGGAAAGATGGTGTCAATAGTGAGGGTGGTTCAATCTTGAGCAATCCTATTGGAAGTTGGTTGATCTTCCTCCGGGAAATAAATCTTTGGGTTCAAAGTGCATCTTCTAAAGGAAAATGAAAGTCGATTGAACTGTTGACAATTATAAAACAAGACTTTTTGTCAAAGGATTTAGACACAAATAAGGTCTTGATCTTGTCGTCACATACTCGTCAGTAACTAGAATTACATTCATTCGGATGTTAATATTAATAGTTATGGTATATGACCTTCAAATTCTTCAAATGAATGTGAAAACAACTTTCTTAAATGGAGAATTAGAGGAAGAAATTCACATCGAACAACCTGAGGGTTTTGAGGTTCCTAGTAAAGAACATAAAGTGTGCGAACTTGTTAAGTCACTTTATGGACTAAAACAAGTACCCAACAATGATATAAGAAATTTGACCAAATCATGTTGGCAAATGGATTTAAGAATGATGGAAGTGATAAATCTGTTTACATTAAAATCACAAGGTCGTTGTTTGTTTTTATATTGATGACATGTTGATATGATAGATCTTGGAGTTGCTCATGCAATCTTATGTATAAGAATCCTTAGAACTCCATAATGTTTAGCATTGTCACGGTCTCATTGCGTTGAAAAGGTACTTAAATAATTCAAATATTCGGATTTCCATATTGTCAAGATTCCAATAAATGTGAGCTTTGCATTTTAAAAGAATGAAGGCGAAAGGGACTCACATTTGGATTGTGCTAGAGTATTGTTAAGTATGTTGTATATCACGAAATATACGCGATCAGATATAGAATGTGCTATTAATAAACTAAGTCGGTTAACGAGTGATCCCAATCGAACTCAATGGATGACAATGAAAAGAATTTTGGGTTGCGGCGCCCCAATCCAAATTTAGCTTCTTCATTGCCCATATCGCCTTATGCTCTAGCTCTACCGGTAAATGACAAGACTTCCCATATACAAGTTGGTAAGGAGACATACCTATGGGGGTCTTGTATGCAGTGCGATAGGCCCATAGAGCATCATCAAGTTTCCTTGATCAATCCGTTCTATTAGCATTCACAGTCTTCGCCAAAATCTGTTTGATTTTTCTGTTGGACACTTTAACTTGCCCACTAGTCTGCGGATGGTAAGGAGTGGCTACATTGTGGCGGACACCATATTTCTGAAGTAGTGCCTTGAACAACTTATTACAAAAGTGAGAGCCTCCGTCACTGATAATCGCCCTGGGTGTACCGAATCTGGAGAAGATATTCTTTTTGAAAAATGCGGTGACACTTTTACCTTTATTGTTGGGGAGCGCAACTGCTTCCACCCACTTCGATACATAATCAACCGCAACAAGAATATACTTCATCCCATATGAACTCACAAATGGACCCATAAAATCAACGCCCCATACATCAAACAACTCTATCACCAATATAGGATTCATAGGGAGCTCTTGCCTCTTTGAAATCCCTCCTTCTCTTTGGCAACGATCACAAGACATGGCGAAATCATGAGCATCTTGGTGGATGGTAGGCCAGTAGTACCCACACTGCAAAATCTTATGCGCAGTCCGAATACCACTATGATGCCCACCAACAGGCGATGAATGGCATGCTTCAAGTACACTCAACCTCGGGCACACATCGATGAATAATCCCATCAGCCCAACTACGATATAAGTAAGGCTCATCCTAAAAGAATTTCTTCACATCATGTGTTCATCTAGAAAAGCATCATTAATTTCAGCCCTGTCTTTAAGCTTTAGCATAGCCTCCTCCTCTAATCTAGACAAGTGGTCGGCAACTTGATTTTCAGTTCCCTTTCTATCTTTTACCATAAAATCAAATTCTTGCAGCAACAATACCCATCTAATCAATCGGGGGTTTTGCATCCTTTTTTTGCCATCAAATACCTCAATGCAGAATGGTCAGTATGCACTATGACCTTAGTACCAAGCAAGTAGGAACGAAATTTTTCGAATGCAAAAACCACCGCAAGAAGTTCTTGTTCGGTTACAGTATAATTCTTCTGGGCCACATTTAGAGCTTTGCTAGCATAGTAAATAGGGTGAAGAATTTTTTCGCGCCTTTGACCCAATACTACACCAAGCGCCACTCCACTCGCATCGCACATTACCTCAAACGGTTGTCCCCAATCCGGTGAAATAATGATAGGTGTTGTAACCAACTTTTCCTTCAACTCTCCAAATGCTCTAAGACAAGCATCATCAAAATAGAACTTACTCTCCTTCTCGAGTAGTTTGCACAAGGGATGTGCAATTTTTGAGAAATCTTTGATGAATCTCCTATAAAAACCTGCATGCCCAAGAAAACTTCTAACACCTTTTACAGAGATGGGTAGGTGGACGCTTTTCTATTACCTCAACTTTAGCTCTATCAACCTCAATACCTTTTTCTGAAATTTGATGACCCAACACTAAACCTTCTTTAACCATGAAATGACATTTCTCCCAGTTCAGCACCAAGTTGCAGTCTTCACATCTTTTGAGCACCTCGGCCAGATGTTCTAGACAATGATCAAACGAATCACCTACCACTGAAAAATCATCCATGAACACTTCAATAGTGTCCTCCACCATATCAGAAAATATCGACATCATACATCTCTGGAAGGTCGCTGGAGCATTGCACAATCCGAATGGCATCCGTTTGAAAGCAAAAGTCCCATATGGGCAAGTGAAGGTGGTCTTTTCTTGGTCTTCTGGAGCTATAGAAATTTGATTGTAGCCCGAATACCCATCAAGAAAATAATACCAACCCTTTCCTGC